TCCCAGAAGACAGTGGAAACAGACGGCGCTTTGCAGTGTCCCCTAGACTGAGCAACAGAGATTCAGGCTCATTGGGACAGGGATGTGAGCACATTCCAAAGCAGGGGCCCCACATGAAGAACACCCACCTCCCCCCGCGACTCAAAAGCAGCACCTCAAACTCCCCTGGAAGTGAGTGCAGGAGGGGTGCGGCGGGGGTTGGGGCGCAGGGAGGGGTGAAAGAGCAGGGAGCACAGCTACTGCAGTTGTGCTCGTGATAAGCTAGAGCCTCTCAGCTAAAGCCCTGGCTGGGATGATTTAGCTGGGAATTGGTCCTGCTTTGAGCAGGGGGTTGGACTAGATGACCTCTTGAGGTCCCTTCCAACTCTGATATTCTATGATTCTCTCAGTAAGCAGGCGGCTGCACTCCGTGCTCGTGGCTGACGGTGCAGCTCCATGCACTGCGGGAATCTAATCTCGCCGCGACAACGGCCTGGATGATGGTAGCAGAGCGAGCGTCCAAAGAACAGCTGCAATCTCTTGGCCAGATGGAGATGGAAAAACGCTATTCTGGCAACTGCTGCTACCTGGTCATCTAACAGCAGCTGGAGGTCTGATCAGACTCCAGCTGGCGAACCTGAGATGTGCACTCTTTGCCCAAGGGGCATATATACGCGCTTGGCTCTAGCGTCTCAGCCCGTGCTCTTTCACTCTCCTAGTTAACTAATTCCTTGCCTAGTGGTGTCAGACAGATGTCTGGCCAATGGGTACCCACTGGCCTTCATCCGGGGACAAAGGTTCCCATCAGCACATGCAGCGAATTTTGGAATTTCTTCCTGTTCCTTCACATCATCGTATAGGGCTGGGTCAGAGTCATGCAACACGTGCATCATTTCAACTGGGGTTTGCGATGGGGCTATTGACGCTTTGGATGACTATCCTCGTGAACGGTCATACTCACTGGCAGGAAAAGCTCGAAAGCAGCCAGTCCATCCCAATACGCCGAGCTGGCACCGCTCTGAGCCTACTGTCTCATTCTATAAACCCTCAGCTTTCATCTGAAAACATCTCTAGCTGTTGTGGTTGTGAAGAGACCCTCCAAAATGTTAGGGATGCAGGGACATGGCGGCAGGGAGCCTGGAGCAACAGTTCCGAAAGGTGTGAGCTGCCCCATTCATCTCAGGGAGGGGTTAACCCAGAGGTCCAGTGATGATCATTTAAGTGTCACCACTGTTAACTATTTTATTGCTGGTGTGAGAAAGGAGAGGGAGGGTGACAGTTGCATGATTTCACTGTGGGAAACGCCTCATTTTGGTGCAGATAGCACCATTTGGGAGGTAGCATCCCTTTATTTCTTCCCAGCTAGGGAGCAACCAGGCTTCAGGAGCCTAGCAGAACCCAGGGGATATGCTCAAACCCCACTGAGGGGGAGTCATACTCAATGAGCCCACTGGAGCCCACAGAGCTGCTGGAGCCAGAACATTTCAAAGAAACAAGCCTGAGTGGTCTAACAAAGCCACCCAAAAGCAGGGGGGGGGGTTAGAGAGCAGCGTGGGGGCAGGGTTTGCATCATCATGGTGGGCAAGGGGGCAGGGTTTGCATCTTTGCATCATCACGCATGGTCTCCCCCAAAAATGCACAGGAAAAATAGCAGCCCCAGAGCTAAGCGGAAAAAGCACGGGCCACAAGTGGGTAAAACACCCCACTCCATCTTTAAAGGGTAAACCCAAGACTCCCTTACTTTGAACCACTTGGCAACCCACAGATGACACATATGGGAGGAGCTTATTTTATGGGTGGAGTTTGGAAGAATATCACAATCTTTATTCTCAGTCTGACCCCTGCTGGCAGGCATGTCCATGGAAACCAAACTGTTAGTTAACATTGTTTGTGGGGAAGTGGGGGAAAGTGAATGTTGAAAGGTATAATGCCAACTATTTACACAGGAAACCTAACTCTGAGAGCTACGTTTATCCAACCAAGGAACAGAGATATACCATGTGACCTAGGTGTCCAAACAAAACAGCTGCATTTCAAATACTGACAATGAACTGTTCACACACAAGATACAGCTCAGGTATTATTTACAGAAATTCTTCAGTAAATAACTTGGAGTAAGTCTGAGAAAGCCACAATCTGTTCACAGATAGAGAAATATGAAATTTTTGGAAATTGCTTTACTAATCATTCCCGTGCTGTATGAGGGTTTTCACAGCACGATGGAGCTCCCAGCCTGCACTGGGCCAGCTCAGTGGAAAGCCCGGGAAAGAATTTCTGGGGTGCCACTTCTTTAGTTGCTCCAGAGTCCTGATCAGCAATCTCAGAGAGACATTACATCCGGTGGACAAGGTGGGTGAGGTAATATCTTTTATTGGACCAACATCTGTTGCCTCACCCATCTTGTCTCTGTAATATCCTGGGACCACCCTGGCTACAACAACACTGCATTAAACTAGGTGTCAGAGTAGTCAATGCACTCGCCTTTCAGTTCTGGAGACCCTGGTTCCAGTTCTTATTAGGCCGCAAACAAACATGTTTTGTGGCATCCGTTTCACAGATGTTTGACCACAGAACAGCTAGCTCGAAAACCCAGGGTTCCTCTATTGTTCCATCTCAGGAGGCAAGTCAGTGAGAACTCCTCACGTACCGAGGATGGAGAAGAGGATCCAGACTTTGAATGGCAGCATGTCAGGACTGAGGAATACTGGAAGAGCTGCATGGCAAGGTTTGAACCAGATTGTCTATATTACATCTCCATTCAGCCAATGTTAGCTGTCTCTAAGGTTCAAGAAAAACAAAGTTCACCCTCAAAATGAAAACATAAAGTAAACAGCCTCATTAAAATGTACATCTGCAAAACAGCGGCTTGAATGCTGTCAGCCAGTTTGCATAACACCCTCTGGAGCATGCTCAGGAGGGATGGCTAATTCCACATCTCAACAATGGAAAAACCCAGAGATCCCTGTGAATAAGCCAGTCTCTGTGTCCTAAGTCAGCCCTTGGATTTCCTCCCTTTCTTGAGACTGTCTCGCCTCCATAAACACTCCGTCGGGGCTTTGTAGCCAGCTTCAGAGGTGGAAGCCTCAACAAGCTCCCAGTTATGTGCTCGGCTCTCAGTTGTTTGCTACAGCCAGGAACTGGCTAGAAACCAGCTCAAAATGTTCCATTTACCACCTCCACACCACAATTCCTCCCCTGATCTCTCCCTCTCACACTCAGAAAGGGAGAGAAACCTAGAGATCCTACCTTCCTCCCTTAATTCCCCTCCAAGGGGACAAGGGGCACCCTCCGGATCTTTAATTCACCTCCTTGTTGCTATTCTTTGTAACCCCTTAACCTGACCAAAGCACCCAGCCCCACTTCCTGTGATGCCATTAGCCTGATGGGACATGAGCCCCTTCACCAAAGTCCGAGCCATCATGTCCTCCCCCTCTCCCCCTCCTCTGTCTCAGAAGCCCCAGGTGCTACCTGAAAACCACACCGCATCTTAGCCACTGATCCCCAGGGTATCACATCAGCGGGGTCACAACCTCATTCTATTCTGGCTACAGTTCTCCCTACCGGGGCATCAGCCAGTCTCTGCCCCCACTACATCATGGAGGTCTCAACCGTTGCCCCATCACCAAATGGCAGGGTGTGGTAGTGCCCCAGCCACTGTCCCCCGCAGCTCACTCAGACAGAGTCTTTCCCCATTACCATATCACCATGGGACTAGCTCCCCTTCAGTCCCAGGCTGGTCAGACTGCGACTAGCTCAGGAGGAACTAGGCTTCTCCCCACCTCATCTTTCTCTGACCATGACCCATTCTGAAGTCCTCATCCATTATTAGCATTACAGTAGCACCCACAATACACTCAGTGCTGTCCACACACTGAACCTACCCCCAACTGCTCCCAATCTCACTCAATCCTCGCCCAGGAAATAAGTGGGAGATGGACAGAATAAGGATGCCAGGGTTTGTCCCTATATAACAACAGGGAAAGGTGCTGCCCTGTCTTTAAAGCCTCTGAAAATAGTTCAAGATTCCACCCATGTTAAAATGTCACCAATAAACACTTGGAAAACATCAGTACAGGAGAGGTGGGCCCTGTACCAGTTCGCCTGGCACTGAAGGGGGACAGGTTCTGTGTTCCTGTCGATGGCATTGTTCCCGCCTATCCCTGGACTTGGTTCTCCACCTCTGAGTCACCAAGGGTTTTATCGGGGAGCGAAGAGATCCCCCCAAAAGGCAGATGCGCGCACTGTTTTCTCTGCCCATTTACTTCCCTGTCCCGTGGGGAAAACTGCTCCAGCCTGGTGTCTGCAGCAGAGCAGTGGAGGTTTGAAGAAGCCCAAAGGGGTTAAAGTCACACTGAGCTCTCAAAGTCAGTCGCTTCCAAGTCAGAGTCTGGCTGCTGCCTGCGGTTTGTGGGAAGGGATTTCGTTTTTTAATAACAGCATTATAAATAGGGCTGTGTTCAGTTTGCTGCAGACTCTCACTCGCTCGTCTCCCTCCTCCTCCTGCCACTGCTGCTGCTCTTCCCTCCCACACGGATCCCAGTGCTGGCCATGGACCGGTCAGCCTTCTTCCTCAGCCTCCTCAGCTTGCTGGTGTGCCTCCTCCCCATCCTCCAGGCATGCCCCTCGAACTGCCACTGCCACGGGGGAGAGCTCCAGCACGTCATCTGCGACAACGTCGGGCTGAGGAAGATCCCCAAGGTGTCCGAGCAAACACGGCTCCTCAACCTGCAGAGGAACAACTTCCCCGTCCTGCCGACCAACGCCTTCAGGGAGATGAAAGGGCTTGTGTCCCTCCACCTCCAGCATTCCCAGATCAAGGAGATCTCCAGCGGCGCCTTCCGGGGGCTGAAGCAGCTCGTCTACCTTTACCTGTCCAATAACGATATCAGCGTCATCAAGATGGGCGCCTTCGACGACCTGTCGGAGCTCACTTACCTATACATGGACCACAACAAGATCTCGGACCTGCCCAAGGGGCTCCTCTCCCCGCTCATTAACCTCTTCATCCTGCAGCTGGGCAGCAACAAGATCCGAGAGCTGAGATCGGGGGCCTTCAGCGGTGCTAAGGACCTGCGCTGGCTCTACCTCTCTGACAACTCCCTCTCCTCTGTCCAGCCCGGGGCCCTGGACGACGTGGAAAACCTCGCTGTCTTCCATTTGGATAAGAACCAGCTAAGCACTTACCCAGTGGCTGCCATGAGCAAGCTGAGGGTAGTGGAGGACCTGAAGCTTTCTCACAACCCCATGAAGGTTATTCCTGACTATGCCTTCCAGTCCTTTGGGCGCTACATGGAGACACTCAGTCTGGACAACATGGGCCTGGAAAAGGTAGGCTCCTCTCCACCCTCCCTCCCCTTTCAAATCGAAACGTAGGGCCTGGTTCTCTTCTCACTTACAGTGCTGTCACGCTTCTGTCCTGATCCGCGCGGGTGTGAGGGAAAAGGAGAATCAGGGTCACAGTTTCGGCAGACGGGTGAAGGGTTCACTAGCAATAAAAAAAGGCACCTGAATCTTTGAACATCCAGGTGATGAATTAAAACGAGAGGACCCCCTCCTCTTGTGCTATGGGACGCGAAGCTCTCCTGGGCTCATGCGCCCATCGGAAGGGTGGTGGGGTCCAGCTCCAGCAGTTGGTTGCTCCGCTCCAATGGGAAATGTATTCTGGGGCTCTAAAATAAATGAGTGAAGAGCTCCCAGCCTTGGGAGGTGGGGTGGGGGAAAGGAGAGGCAAGGGGCTGCTCCGTGCGCAAACGGGCAGGGCACAGCGGATTGGTAGAACTTAACTGCCCTGTCTCCTGAGCTGCAGCCTGGATACCTGCTGTCAGTTCGAAGTGTGTGTGGGGGGAGATTCCTCCAGAGGCATTATGAATACAGCAGTTTCTTCCTAGTGCAGTGCAGACAGGGACCCAGCGCACACATGTCCATCTTCTACCCCCCTTTTTTTTTAAACTTCCAACTTTACACTCTATAAAGAAAGGTTTGTCTATTGATGAGCTCTCAAGAGAAACTCTTGCAACCTTTTACAAAGAAGCCCTGTTTCTACCCAGAGAGCAGGAGGGACATTCAGGTAACCCAGCAAAATACGCCTCTTCTTCTCATGGAAAAAGTCAGGCCCACGGGTAGGAGCATCACGCTGGGGAGCTACTTGCAACAGGACCCCTGGAATACCAGGCAGGGGTGCGAGTAAAGGAGCACACCCAGCACAGGAAGGACAGCACCTCAAAGCAGCAGCATCCCACAGTGCTTTGTTGGGATGCAACAGGATGATGAAAGAGCAGCTCACAGCATCCCAGGATGCCATGCCAAGAAGCACAGGGATGGAGCATATCCAGGGAAATAGGATAGCACCTCACAGCAAGGTAGTACCCCATCATGTGGTGCAGAGGGATGGAGAACATCCCAGTGAAAACGATGAGTGCCTTGTAGCAACACAGAGCCAGCATCATACTGTGCTGGGGGTGTGCAGAGCATCTGCGTTCAGAAGGACACAACCCAACAGCAGCAGAGAGCTGCCAAATGGTGGTGGGAGTTAGAGCACATCCACGTTTCAAAGGCAATACAGCATCCCAGAATGCCAGGCTAGGAAGCTGGAATTTATCCAGGTTGAGAATGACAGTATCGATAGCAGCACAGCGTCCCTTCGGCAATATCTCAGCTCGAGATTACAGTCCCCATAAGGATTGGTGAATTCAAGCTCATTCACCTGGAAATTATCTGCTGACACATCTATGGAAGGACTCCATAGATGACGAGCATGTCATCCTTCAGTGATGCTGCCATGTCACTACTGGGGGCATCAACTCAGATTCTATCTGGTCTCATGGTGCCTCAATCAAAAGATACAGGTTACATGTCATACTAGATGGGGAGACACCAGAGACAAGATGAGATTTAACTAGTCCACGATGTTGGGATGCTCTACAGATGCAAGTGCTCTTTATACCGTCAAGGATTAGCTGAACAAACTGGAAGTCTATGAATTCAGTCTAGCTATGCGGTGACCTTGTTAATCTGGAGAACAGTATTTTGGGCATAAGAATGGAATTTGACAACAAACAGATGTGGAGTCAGTTCTTTCATCTGTTTGATCAATAGGTTGCTAGCTAGAGATGAAGGGTTTAGTCACTGCTGATTTACGTGCGTGCGTTGCCTGAAGTCCGTAGAGTTATGTTCATTCTCACCAGTGGTGAACTTGCTCAATGGATCGATGGTAGTTCTTTGTTATGTATATTATCTCGTGCTGCACTGTTGTTTTAATATGGTTGTCTCGGTATAATTCTGCACACTGACTGTCCGCCATCTTTCATACTTTTTGACATCATTTTAACAACATTCCAATATAAAAAACTACCTCTGAGATCATCACACATCTCCTGTAGCTTCTTTCAGATTGGAGGGATCCAACCACATGTTACTGGTAGACAAGCTACACAGAGGAACCGTTTCATCCACCAATGCAGTCCCTTCTGGGGTAGAACACAGCAGCTCTTCAACAGTGCACACGCCACTTCCTTTGTATGCAAAAAAGTGGAAAAGTATACCAGATCCAACCTAAATTGCAGGAGCTTAGCTAGGCAGAGCAGAATTATACAAATTAGCCAAGACACGAGGGTTAACACTCCTAGCTTTGCAAAAAAGTGCTCTGGACTCTTTAATGACCTACTAGTGGTCAGTAATAGACAGGAACTTTATTTGAGGTCTCATATGAAATATGGCACTTCCTGCAGCCAAGTGCCCTCATAACAAAGTCTGGACCATTTGATTAGTACAACCGAGAGAGGCGTGCCACCAAATGATCATTCCTATTTCTCTATGAACACGGTCCGCCATGGTTGCTCCAGGGTTTTCATTTTTTCACTCTAAAGGTATGTCTACACTGCAGTCAGAGGAGCGACTGCACCCATGTGTTGACACACCCGAGCTAGCTTTGATCTAGCTAACTTGAATAACAGTAGCAGGGAAGCCGTAGCAACACATGCTGTAGGAGCCCACCTGGGACCCTGGGTAATGATTTGAGCAGCTAGCCCACGCTGCTATGGCTTGATTGCTATTGGTTTTTGAGCTAGCTAGATCAAAGCTAGCTTGGGTATGTCTACACGGGCCTAGACGCACCCAAACTAGTTTTTGCCTCATACTTGCCAGAAGCCTTGTATCCATGTGATCCATATGTATGTATGTGAGTCTCGCTAGACACAATGTCCATCTGATGGCGGTATTTAAAATATGCAATGGTGATAATATCTGGGTTGCAGCCACACCCCTCCCCCCCAAATACCATTCTCAGCTCCTCTTCTCTGATAGGGTTGGATTCTTCTGTGTGGTTTCACAATTCTATAGCCATTAGCCACTCGGATGTGCGAAACTGTTCCAGATGAGACTCCCTGTCACTGTTGCAATTAACATCACCATTGTCACACCAGAAAAGAAGGAGATCTTAAACAATTTTGCAACTCTAGTATTGGAAAGTCCTCTCTCATGCAAGGAAACAAAGAGACCGGACTCTTCTCCGAAGCTTTAACCAAAGATATTACGATAGCCATTTCTAACAGGGCTCAGGACCATATTAGCTACGTGCCACACAAAAAATGAAGAATAAACATCTTGCATCTACATAATAACCTTCATCTTGGAGGACCCCAAAGTGCTTGAAGCTCGGGGATAAAGCACAGCAGCTGTTTAACAGCACACAAACAATTGGAACAGGAAGTGAAATAGAATGTCGTATTAGATTGAAACCGCAGGGGGAATTTAGGTGGTCAGAACAAAATTACCCAAACTGGAATTTGGCCAGGACACTGGCGTCAAACACCCCTGCTGCACAAAGCACCAGAAGTGGTCAGGACCTTGGTTTCACATCTCATCAGAGAGACAGCACTGGCAGCAGCATAGCAGAACCCGCTGGGATTTATTCAGTGCTGAACCATAGGGGACTGTTCCCTGCTGACTTCCCAACACTACTTGCTGCAGGACTTGGAGGTCTCGTATACAAGCACTAATCCAACCCGACACTGCTTGGCTTGTGAGATCTCACCGGTTTGCAGCCCGAGATGGCATAGCTGCAGGAGCTGGGACTCACGCTGAGGGGACGTGTCTGGGGAGTGATCAGTGAGACATGAAAATACAGCTGGGTATTTGATACAGGGCTTTCTGGTGGACCCATGGAGATAACAAATCTGTTTTCTCCCCTCCTCAGGGTTCTGAAAAGAACCGGAAAGTGGGAAGAAAATAGGTTTGTTGTTGCTAAGAGAAGCATCCATGCAGTCAACAGTTTCCTCTGTAACTAATGGGATCCAGGGAAGTTTGCGCAGATGGGTTTGCATTTTACACAAATCCTTCCAAACTAAGTAGGATTGGGGTGGGGAGAAGGGGAGACGGCTAACAGGAGGTGCACAATTGCCAGTTTTATCTCTCCAGCATTTTATTCTCAGGTGCGTGAAGGGGGCTATATTTTAAAGCCTGCCCATAGGCCATGAACACACAGACTTGCAAACAACCCATCAGGGAGGGGAGGGAGAGAGAGAGAGGTGAGGAGACCAAAGCACTGGATGCCTGCCCTGCTGCATCTACAGTGCTCTGAAGCCAAGTGTAACTTTCCACTCAGAGTCCACAGGGCTCTGCCAAAGCCTACAGGCCCTTCAGACTCCACAAACACTCCCTTCAGCAACAGTTCCATGAGCGGGAACGCAACAGGCCCTGGAAAGGTTTGTACCCAGGAAATGTCTCGGCTCATTTAGAGAGGAGGAGCATGCTTTAGAAACAAATGGGACTGGCCAGACCTCAGCTTTTCTTTGGGCTATATGGAGGCGCCTGGGGAAGGCAAGGAGCAAATGGGGAGGGGCTAGGGCTTTAACCACCCTGAGGTGGGAGGAACTAAAATTGATCACTCAAGAAGGAAAACACCTTCCATGCTTCTGCCTCCTGAATCCCTCCAGGGGGCCATGGAGGAGATTCCTTGCTCCTTACCCTCTCCCACTCTCTCCAGCCCCACTGCTGTCACTAAGAGCCATGAACACAGGCGGCCTGGAAAAGAAGGGAACAGAGAACATCCCACACTTGCCCGAGACACAGCAATCAGCATCTCCCCTTGTGCTTTAGTTTTCAGATAAAGCATTTGCTGGAGTGACCACACTGAAGACTGTTCACATCGAGAACAACAGACTTAACCAGCTACCTGGGAACTTCCCGTTCAGCAGCCTGGAGAACCTCACCCTGTCCAACAACCCTTGGCTCTGCTCCTGTCAGCTAGCAGCTCTGCGCAAGTAAGAGACACTCACTTCTGCCTCTCTCCTACCCAATCTGGTGCCCACTGACCAGGCACAGGGGAAGGTCCCCGTTAGTTGTGCCAGGGGGCCTCACTGACCAGGCACAGGGGAAGGTCCCTGTTAGTTGTGCCAGGGGGCCCCACTGACCAGGCACAGGGGGAGGTCCCCGTTAGTTGTGCATGGTAAAGAGGAAGAGGCGACCAATAACCTGACACTTGGTCAGTAATGCAGTTTCCGGTCTCCCCTGGCAACTCTGCCCAGGTGAGCAGTCATCTGTCCTCTTCTGAAGTTTAGGGGTTTTCTGTTTGCCCTTCCCCAGGTGGTTGGAGTCCAGCCGCTCCCGCCCAGATGCGGTTTGTGCCTCACCATCTCAGTACCGAGGGCAGCAGATAAGAGACACCGCCGCGCTCCGCAGCTGCAAACTCCCCACCAGGAAGTCCAGGAAAGGAAACCGCCATTAAACAGGTAAGAAACTTTTCACAACCACACCCTGTTGTTCTTCGTTCTCCTTCCGTCTCACACAGACTGAAGCCAAGTCCTGGTCCCGCTGAAGTCAACAGGAGTTTTACCATGGACTTCACTGAGTCTAAGGATCGCTTCCAAAACAGTTAATCCATTTACCTGCCCTGACCTAAATGTATAGGTCATAAAGCCAGATGGGATCATTTTAATCATCTAGTCTGACCTCCTGTATAACAGGCCGGAGAACTCTCCTGGGCTAATTCCTGATGGAACTAGAGAAAATCTTTTAGAAAAATGTCCAACCTTGATTTAAAACATTTCCAGTGATGGAGAATCTCCCACAACCATGTTCCAATGGTTAATTACCAACACTGTTAACTAATTGGGCCTCATTTCTAGTCTGAATTTGACAAGCTTCAACTTCCAGCCATAGGATCTTGTTGTATCTTTCAGAGTAGCAGCTGTGTTAGTCTGTATCCTCAAAAAGAACAGGAGTACTTGTGGCACCTTAGAGACTAACGAATTTATTTGAGCACGAAAGCTTATGCTCAAATAAATTCGTTAGTCTCCAAGGTGCCACAAGTACTCCTGTTCTTGTTGTATCTTTGTGAGCTAGATTGAAGAGCCCTTTACTGCCAAAGTTTTGTCCCCCATGTAGGTACTTACAGACAGATCAAGTCACCCCTTAATCTTCCCTCTGGTAAAATAAATAGAATACATGCCTTAGTCTATCGCTACAGTAGAACCTTAGAGTTACGAACACTTCAGGAATGGAGATTGTTCATAACCACTGGAGTTGCGTAGTGTAGGTCGACTTACCGCGGTAGTGTAGACATAGCCACAGACTTACCATAACCTCCTTCCTCCCACTCCATATTCCTTTTATACATACAAAGATCACTCTTTTGGCTACAGCATCACACTGGCTTTTGGCTACAGCATCACATGTTCAGCTGATTATCCACCATGACCCCCAAGTTCTTTTCAGAGACACTGCTCCCCAGGATAGAGTCCCCCATCCTGTAAGTGTGGCCTACATTCTTTGTTCCTAGATGTATGACCTTATGTTTGGCCATGTTAAAACACGTATTGTTTGCTTGCACCCCGCTTACCAACCAATGCAGAGTGCTCTGTATCAGTGACCTGTCCTTCATTATTTACCACTCCCCCAATCTGCGTGCAATCATCCGCAAACATAAAATTATTGCTGATGACGTTTTCTTCCAGCTCATTGATAAAAACATTAGCATAGGGCCAAGAACTGATCCCTGCAGAATCCCACTACAAACACACCCACTTGAAAATTATTTCCCCATTTATACTTACATTTTGAGATCTATTATTTGGCCAGTTTTTAATCTATTGTGTGCCATATTAATTTTGTATCCTTCTAGGGTTTTTTTAATCAAATTTCATGCGGTACACCAATTCACATGCCTTACAAAAGTTTTAAGTCTATTACATCAATACCATGACTTCTATCAACCAAACTTGTGATCTCAAAAAAGGTATCAAGTTAGTTTGATGGGATCTATTTTCCATAAATCCATAATTCCATTGATTGGCATTAATTACCCTCCTTTAATTCTTTATTGATCAAGTCCCATACTGCCATTCCATTACTTTGCTTTGGATTGATGTCAAACTGACGGGCCTAGAATTACCCAGGTCATCCCGTTTACCCTTTTTAAATATTGGCACAACTTTAGTTTTCTTCCAATCCTCTGGAACTTCCCCTGTGTTCCAAGACTTACTGTTAATCAACATACATGGTCTAGAGAGCACCACAACCAGCTGTCTGAGAACTTTTGGATGAAAGTTATCTGGACCAGCTGATTCCAAAATGTCTAGTTTTAGTAGCTGCTTTTTAACATTCTCCCAAATTACTGTTGGAATGGAAATTGTTTCATCATCTATATCATAGCTTTCCCCCAAATGTGGAACGAATATTTGTTGAACACTTCTGTCTTTTCTGCATTATCACCGACAATTTATCATTTCCATTTAGTAACAGGCCAATCTCTCTGCTAGGATTCTTTTGCTCCTAATATACTTAAATTCCTTAACTCTGCTGGCCATAGAGTTTGCCTTCTGTCCTTTTGCTTGCCTTATCAATTTTCTACAATTCCTATCTTTTAATTTATATTCATAACTATCAACTTCAATTTTCTTCCATTTGGCTTGGATGTACAGAATTATTTTATAGCTGCTTTCATTTCCCCTCTAAGCCAGGCTAGTTTTTTAACCAGTGTAGCCTTCTTTATTGAATGTGGCTTTTGGGGTATCTTGTAAAATGGTCTCAAACAATTCCTAATCATCATTCACATTTTTCTGTTCAAATTCTCTCTCTCAGCTGATTTGGCTCATAATTGTTTTATGAAACTGGTCCTTTAGAAGAACCAAGTATACTGGTTTGGACTTTATTCTATTTGCATATAACAAATGTGAACAAATCATGATCATTTGTGCCTAAGCTACCATTAATTTTTAGTTACATGATCAAGTCCTCTTCGTCTGTCAAGACGAGGTCGAATATAGAACTCACCCCGGTTGGATGCAACACTTTTTGAGGCAGAAAATTGTCAACTGTAATATTTAGAAATTCTGAGGACGCTTTAGTTCTGTCAGATCTCCAACAGGTCATCAGATTGAGGATCCCCTCGATAATGCAGTTTCCCCACCATATACAATACAGATTAAGAAGCCTTTGTTTTTTTCATCCATGGATAAAGAGATGGCGAAAACAAAGTTGTACGCCCTGAGTGCCAGAGGAGATACCAGCTCTTCTACCCCTTCCCAGAGTGATGCTATTTCTCCTGGATGGCTGGCAGACGTTATTGATTACAGATGGAAATACCAGCCGTTCCAGACAGGGCTGGTAGACTTCCGCACTGGACGTGGAAACTTTACTTTTCTAAACCACAGTGCTTAATTTAGTGTATGTAGGAGACTCTCCCTTCTCGGGCAGGAAGAGGAGAAAGCCAAACCCCCATTCCACAGCCCTCCTCTAGGAGGGAGGAATAACAAAACAATGACGACGATGATAATACTTTGCCTTGAGATCCCCACATGGAGGGTGCTCTAGAAAAGCAATTTCCGAACATCAGTGAACTGATTCTCACAACTCATGAGTCGGAGAATTTATCCCTGTTGTACAGATGTGAAAACTAAATACCTTCAAACTAGGCACGTAGATCCATTCTAAGGCACCTAAGTAAGTGACCTGATCTTTACAAGTGTCAAATACCTTCAGCTTCCCCTGCTTGCACTGAGAGCTGTGGGTGCTCAGCACCTCTGAGAGGCAAGTCACTTATTGAGATGCCCATATATGCTGATTTAGGTGTAATCTCTATGAATGACTTGTGCCTTTTAGGTGCCCAACTTGAAACATTTTAAGGGGGTCTGATTTTCAGAGGGAAGGTGCTCTGAGAATCAGGCGTCTTTGCGGTGTCTCAGCCCGGGCACCCAAAATCACTTGTTGCTTTTGAAAATCTAGGCCTCAGGTGTCTGTGTTCAGGCAGCCAAGTTTAAAATGTTAGGTAAGTTACTTAAGAGTCGCACAGCAAAATAGTGGAAGAGTCAAGATTACAGAACCCATCAGTCTGGTGTTCAGTGGAAACTGGGGTTTTTTGGCACCTCTGAAAAGGAGATCAGGTGTCTCCTGACTCACAGTTGTGTATGCCATTCATGAGACCATGAAAAAGCCTCAAGTCCCTGGTTCTGCTTGAAAAACCTTTAAACGTAGATTTCTTTTCTCCCTCCCCAACCCTAACAGGCCCTGGTATGGCTTGTCCAGGTGACTGGCCGCTTCAACCAATCAGAAAACTACTGACTCCATCCAAGTCCACCCGTAAGCTTCTACCATCTGTCAAGAGACATTTCTGATGTATCTGATCACCTCCAGCCTCCTCACAATCCTCGCCTATCTGCTGACTGCAGGATGGAATCCAACTTTTCAATCTTTTCCAACGTCTATGTATTTTAAAAGAGGCATTTTTTTTAAACTAAACTATGCATGACAATGCTAAGACAAGCTAACCTAGATCCTGCCAGTAAAACACAGTCATCTTCCCAGAGGCAATCTAAATGTTCCCTGGTGTTTGTTTCCATCCTTCTCCTTCCAGTGGGATGCAAGTGAATAGAAAGCCATAAGGGTTCCTCCCTCCCCCAGCTCCCGATTGCTCCAGCAGGAAAGCCATCCCATCTCAACTCACGCAGACAGAAACCTCCTACTACCTGAGGAGGTGATCCCTGCAGGTCAGGGCAGAGGACCACAGGTGAAGCAAAGTCCAGGGTTCAGTGGACCTGGAGAGTGAGTTTCCCTTACAGTCCGGCAGGGAGTGATCTCTCTAGGTCAGGCTGAGGTCTGCTAGTGTTGGGGAACCTCAACACTGAACTAGCTTGGAGATTGGATTATCTTCTCACCTCGCAGGAAGGTGGTCTCACAAAGTACCTACACATGCAAGGGAGAGGTTTGCACCATATCGCCTATATCTGGGGAGCGATCTTGCTCTCCAGTCCTCCTCCTCCTCCTCTCCCCGCCCCCAACCCAGAAAGCCTAGTGGGAGAACAAGATGACTGTGGTTTATCGTCATGGATTTTACAATACCACAATTTCAACTTAACTGCATTTTTTTATCTAAAGATTTATATAAATATATATAAATATATATATATTTATTCCTCTGTAACTGAGTGTAAATGACTCTTAGGAGGATGAAAACTCCTCTTACTCTTATATAGAAAACAAATTGTATATTTTCTTATGTACATCTTCTGTATAAAGCTCTCGCTGCAAAGATGAATTCAGCAGGTTTCCAAGTTTCTGCCTGAGGCCTGGTGACTCATGCTGCAAACTGGGTGTGAGTCCAGCTACACAGCTCAATCCAGACCCTAGCCCCCCTTTATCCTGCTTGCAGGTTCAGAACAAAGTCGTTTTGAAGAAAAGGGTTTTATTATTAGCCCTACCACTGTGCAGGAAGAGGTAACTCACACGTTCCAAGTATTGGCCACCTTGTAATAATGGTGGGGAACATCTTGGGAAGGCCAAATATAGGGCTGCTGTAAAGTAAATGGCTGCCACCCCATTGAAGTTCATGGAGTTAGGCCCCAGCTGAGTTTGTCCCCTGGTGTTTTAAACTCAGCCCTAACAGCTTCACACAAGAAGCAAAGCCGCAGAGCTCCCTTGAGACATGGCCCCATTCCAGAGCAGTTGTCCCACACTCCCTTCATGCTGCTCCGTTCCAGAGCATACAGCAGGGCCTACAAAACTCTTGGTGCTGGCACGTTCTGAAGCTGCCAGCAATAAGAGCAGAAATCTGACGCCTAGTCCCATGTGGTTAACCCACCACATCGGTTTGTTTCCTTGGCCTTCACAGGCAGCTTGTTACTTCCTTTAAAGCAAAACAACCAGGCTGTGCACACTCGCTCACCTTCAAGTACTCCCAGATCTGTTTTTCAAAAAGATAACGAGGGTGGGATCTGGGGCCGACTACACAGAAAGAGACAGTGCTCCACTATGTTAAACATACTGCAAAATGCATCAGCTAAAGCCCAGGGGATCCACTGAATGACAGATGGGACCAGGCTGGACGCACAGGAATGAGGGTACACATGCATGCTTAGTGAAAGCGCCTCAGCCCCAGCTTACCTGCTGCCTCCCTGTTTCAGGCTTCCTGCGAACTTTTGATTCGCGGGAAGCAGGGGAGGGGGAGGAGCAGGGGGCGGAGCGTTCAGGGGAGGGGGCAGAGTTGGGGTGGGGACTTTGGGGAAGGGGCGGGGGCAGGGCCGCGGCCCCGTGGAGTGTCCTCCTTTTTTTAAATTAAATGATGGTAACCCTAGGCACTGTGTGTGTGTGAGAATACATAAGAAGGGCTGCAGTGCGCATGGTGCTGGATCTGACCCTCCACACGCTGAGGTGCAGGGCGTGTGCGCGAATCATGCAGGAGATGGAACATGTGAGCGCCATCCGTGCTGGTGAAGGGAATGAGCTGATTCAGCAGCAAAACACAACACCGTTCTGAGTCAGCCAGGTGTCTTCCTCAGTGTTTATACTTGAGGATTCAGAGACAGCACGTGCAATACGGGAAAGAGAATTGGTTGCTGCAACCAGAAAATAAACAGAGACATGTCCCAGCCTGGGGTACGACCCAATGTGGCCACGCTGGGTGCAATGCTCTCCCTTCTCACCGTAGCTGTCCTTGTAGTTTCCTATGTCCCTCCCAAGATGGGTTGGGCCTCTGATCCCCAGCCCAGTTACTCTACCCTGTACCCTCTTGGAAGACCGGAAGGCATGAGGCCTCTGCATCCCATCACACATGGACACATTCATTCAGGGAGCCTCCAGTTCCGTCGCTCTGTACACATGCTCAGGTTCCCGGTTCCCAATGGACGGTGTGGGAGGGGGACAACCCAGGCAGCCCAGGCCCAAACATGGAAAGCGACTCACCACAATATCCCGCATATTCATCTTGGTCATAATCTTCTTCATGATCTCAGGGGGCACAGGGGACCCTGCAATGACTCCTGGAAGAGAGAAGGCAAGAGGACTACATTGGAGACTCTCCTTCCCCAGGAAATCCCACCGAAAGGGGTCGGTACAGTTAGATCTAACGGCTGACAAAACCTTTGGGAGGCACTAGGTCCTGTCTACATGCTTTACCATTTCCCTAGCTATGGGTACTAATTATTCCCAAAGCAGAGACCCAACCTGGCAACAAGAGCTGTGCATTTCCCGGCCTGGGTTGGGATGTTGGCCTCGTTTACTAGTTAGGAGAGTTAATTCTACAGCGCAGATTCACTCCAGGCTGAAGCCCGGCAAAAAGATTCATTCAGCTCCGGAACAAACACACCATGGCAGGGTGAGCTTCCCCATGCAACCCCAGCCCTGTCAACATGCCTCTGTCCTGACCTGGAGGGACCACCTCCATGTGGGAGAGGGAAGGTCAACAGAACCTATTTCAATGGTGGGACAGCGAAGGGTAGAACACGCCCTTCAGGATCAGACTGACATTGCACAAGCTGAGACATTACAATGGCAATTTTCAGTGTAATCAACAGACTTGACAGGGTCAGGCCCCTTCCTCAGATAACAGGGAGTTTCAGATGCGCTACCCAGGTACTTCTAATTCACCCGTCACAGTAGTCTCTGAGTGCTAACGCTGCCCACAAACTCTACACCACTCCTTGCTTCAGCTGTTGCTATAGGACATTTCTATTATTGATGCTTTGGGAGGGAGAGGAAAATTCCAATACAAATGAGCTGCACATCAGCTACCTAAAAACACAGGTTGCAATTCTAAACAAGCAGGGAATTTTACATGTAGGAAATTCACACTCCCATTGCAGCATTGCCCATTGCACCCCGGGGAACGTGTACAAAGTACAGTACACCAGATGGCTGCTGCCACATGTTGGTGGATGGAGGTATGGAAGTCCAGCAAGTACAATCCTTCCAGCATACCCCATCCCCTCTCTGCTTCCATAAGACATAACAGCTGGATAACTTCCCCCTAAATCTTCAAGTCATCAGGCCATTGCTCTGAAGAGAGGAGAAGGGTGCTAGAAACATGGAAATCACGAGCAGAAGATCGTCAAGTAGGAAAGCACACCATCAAATTAACAGGTCGACGGAAAGAGCTTGCAACACGAATGTTTCTTCCTCACTAGTGATTTGCTTGCACAGCCTAGCCCATGAGCATCTGCCTGTCCAGCTGGCTTCCTCAAGGAGACCCAGGGGAGGCCAGTTACCGTGGGTCCTGCTGTACTTACCTCCCCGGAGAGACGAGAGGTCATAGCTGTCGAAGTCGGGCTGGGAGAGCATGTCTATGAACATGGTCGGAGTGCCGTGTAAAAGGGAGCATCTTGAAGGGACGGGAGAGAAAAAGCCAAGCAGCAGAATCAGAGCCTGTGGCAGTAAAGCCTAGGTACCCCGCTCCCCACTGTGCCTGGGTCAGGCCTTTGGGCCTGCCGGGCAGGCCTGGGAATAATGGATTTATCATGCAGCAGCAGCACCTTTGCTTTACAGACTACACCTAGACAGCACCTTGGAAATGCAGCCAGCGCTGGGGTGGAGGGGATGGTGGAGGGAGAAGGCGGCTGGTTATGTATAGACACACACCAGTCACTAACCCAAACAAGGAGAGGCCATGCCTTCCAGCCAAGAATCAGCAGTGACCAGGGCAACTTGGGATGGGCAGTGGGGCATTTCACAAGTTCCTGGGCACGACAGGGCCAGGACTCAGACAAACAAGAGACTATGCCTCTGCCACAGTGGGGAGGCCAGGGGCAGGAGCTGCCTGCCAGCAGAGCTGAACTAAGTGACCCCTCCAGGTGACATTCAAGGGCCCGTGAGCCTCACTTCTCTTGAGCCACGGCTTCCAGCGCAGCTTTCCCCTCGAAGCTCAAGGACGAGAAGATAGCGGGGGAGCCATGCACAGCCATCACCATACTGCCTCCAACGGAGCCCAGGCAGTGGTAGAGGGGTACGGGGAGGGCAGTCCGGGATTCCTAGGATCAAGCCAGCAATGAGGAGATAGCCCTTCTGGTCTCTCTGAACCATTCTAATGCCTGGAGTACATGGGCCTACCCAGGGTTCTCCCTGAACCACTTACACCTCTAGGGTATGAATATGAGATATGGGGGCTGGATAGCAGGGGGAAGGAACTGCCTGAATTGTCATTGTGCCTCAAACCCAGCCTTGTGGGAGTGCCCTCTGCTGGCACCACGGCAGCACAACATTGCTTCATACCCCGTCCTTAGGGCTCCTCATAACAGCACTCTCAGCTCCCCTCACCCACAACTTGGGGGGTCTTTCGCTGCGTCTTGCTGGGGAGTCATCCGCCTTCTCCACATGCTCAGTCCCACTACGGCTGGAGCACAGCCCATCCCCCGCCGACTGAGGAGACTCACCTGCTGATCAATTCCCAGCCTCAGCCCAATCAGGTTTGCATTATTCACAATGTTTCTATGAGAGAGGGTGGCCCCTTTGGGGCTTCCAGTCGTGCCCTGAAAGACAGAGAGCGTTTCGAGATCCTCTGGTACGACCGTCCTTTCAGAGTGGCAGGTGCACAGATTCTCTGTGGTGATCCCTCCCCTCCCCACCCCGCAGATTTCTGCTCTGCTCTTGTCCTCTAGTCTCCCTCCAGACACGGCAGCCTCTGATCCGACAGCCCCACAAATGATATGACACAGACCAACTGCTGCTGGGATCAGAGCTCCATGGCACACAGGCCCCCACATCTCATCCCTGCTGTCAGCTCCTGGGAAGGGGCAAGCCATGGAAGTGGTGGAGAAAAGGGGAAAATCCTAGATGACCTCCTAAATCCTATTCTGAAAGGGCCAGGGAAGATGGGACAGTATCCATCCTAAGTGACCAGGTATCAAAGGGAGTAGCCTGCTTAGCACTGGCCACAGGGGTCGCCGGATCTGGTGTCCGGTGCAAGGCAGAGCAGCGTGCGGTACCTACAGAAGTGAACTGGATGTTGATGGGCTCGTTGCAGGACAGAGTCTGCTGGACCTCTCGTAACTGCTTCATATGGCTGCTGTCCCCAGCCTGCATCACCTCGCTCATCTGGAACGCACCAGGCAGCTTGGAGTCTAATGTGATTACAACTGATAGGTCTGGCAGCCTGAGACAAAGAAAAATACTGTCAGCAACAGCAGAGTCAGGAGGACAGACTGCCTTGGTGCTTGTGTGCTGCTAGGGGTTAACGCCTGGGATGGGCCCAAGGGCCCCTGTATCACCTGGACACAGGAAGCAGGAGCTGATTAAGGCAGCTCACATGGGATAATGCCATACTAGACTCTTCTTCCTTTCTCCTCTTTGGAACGCAGGTTACGTGGGAGGAGCTGTGTGTAACACAGGGCACTCAGCTCCAGCCCAGGTCAGTCTAAGCGAGATCTCCTCTGTTTGCTGGGGAAGGATAATGGCTGATTCCTAACTGGAACAGGGTGCGGGTCCCAGTTGTTATCAGCCAGTGATCTGCGGTCTATTTGGTGCTCAGATAACAGGGTGATGGGTGCCACAGCGTATAAAAGCCTACACAGAGATATTTGCTTGGGACCTCTTTTCCCCTGGGATCATACACCAGGTTCAGTAGTAGGTTTGTCACCTTGCAAGCGTGAGGGCCCAGTGCAGGGCACAGCCCTGGGGGACCACAAGAGGATCTCTGGTGTTTCTCACTCACCTCTTGCTCTTTATTCCCCCTGGACTGGATTTCTCTAGCTCAGGACAAGTTTGCTTCAGGATCTCATAGTATCTCTGGGATTTAAACTGAGTGGGGAACACCAGGGCCTTACAGCCAACCTGTGTGGGGAGAGAGAGGGAAGTCAGGCTGGGGTGACACCCGCTGCCCAGGGAGTAATGAACAGTCCCTGGAAACCTGACAGCAGGGCACTTGCATTCTCTGCTGATGGAAAACCACCACACGCACCCCGAGAAACCAAAAGGCAGGAGTTAAACCCTAACACTACTTATTCGGCTATGAGTATGTGTTACAACAGCCCCTGTCTAGACTGAGCTTTCAAACCATGTTAGCCCCGTCCTAGAAGGAACCTCCTGTAAGACAGCTTCGAAGCTGGGGCTGGGGACAACTCCTCACCACACCTGGAGACATTTAAGGACTCCAACCCTTCTTGTGCCTTGCTGCCCCCATGAGCAACCCTGTTTCCCAGCAGAATGGTGCCCCCGAGATCCCAGGCTCACACCCACCTGCAGCGTTGGGTTTAATGTTCAGCATTCTAACACCTCTCTGCCCAGAGCAGACATCCCTGGTGTAGGCAGGTGCAACTCCACAGACTTCAGCAGGGTTGCAACTGTTTACACCAGGCCTGAATTTGGCCCAGAGCACATAAATTGAATGTTCCATTTCAGATACCATTTCTGACTCTGATGCTGGCAAGAACAGCCTTCCTGAAGGCGACACTGCCACTGAGGGAGCCAGCGTCAGATTGAAAGCCAGTTTACATCCCGTTTTAGTATTGGGTTGACAGAGCTTAGAAATGGTACTGTTTACCCACCCGGGACCTGATTCCCCTCTCACTTCCACTGCTTTTACTCTCCTGTAGCTGCACTGACGGCAGCGGTGCTACTCTTGATTGACACAGATGTACATGCGAGAGGCGGCTCAAACCTGTACAGCCACATTGTCAAAGCAGGGAGCAGCGGATGTGCCCAGGAGAATGCAGCTGCACTGCTGTCGCACACCGATTTGCATGTGCAGCTGTGGGTTTCTGTTGCTTCCTGGGCCCTTCGCATTTTGCTGAAACTCTGCCGTTCCTTTTCCGATTAGCACGAAAACAGGACAAATGCTACCTGTCGCCCCAACCCCAACCTCACCACATCAAGAGGAGGCCAAGACATGCCAGTTTTAACCAAGACGTTATTTGCAAGGACTCTGTGATTTGCAATGGGAGAGAGCAACAATTGCTTTCACTTTCAGAAAGGTCACGTCAAATCCACCGGAGACCTCATCTGTACAAGGAAGTTTGGGGCTTTGTATGTCTACACAGCAAAGCAAAACCCAGGGCTGGCCCACGCTAGCTGACTCAGGCTGTTTCATTGTGGTGTAGACTGCCTGAGCTCTGGGAGCCCCCCTCTCCACAGGGTCCTAGAGCCTGGGCTCCAGCCTAGTCCTGGAAGTCTACAAAGCAATGAAACATCCCCACAGCCTGAGCAGGCCAGCCATGGGTGTCTAGTTGCTGTGTAGACATAGCTTTTAACTCCAGGGACACCATGATCAGGGTCCATTTATCAGGGCAAGACAGTTCAAGCCACAATACTAATCTGAAAACTCCAAAGCACCTTGTCTGTAAAGGTAGCTACGTGAGGAGAGGAGATGCTGCAGGAGGGTCCCTCTTAACAGACATGGCAATGGTTAGTAGTAGATCTTTCTGTAAAGGACCTGCACTGGGAAGGCCATGATCAGTTTGTATTTACAAAGCTCTGGAAACCTGGTGCAGGGAAATGATCGAAGGGAGGAGCAGGTTGGAAAATGGCTATTTATTATTGTGTGCTGGAAGGAATTATTCTGCAGTGGCAGGAAAAAGGATGAGGCTGTTGGTGGGTTCTGTGGTGAATCTAGTTTGATAGTCCAAGCCCATGAGGGAAGGGTTTTTGTTTTGCAGACTTCCATTAACAAACAATAGCAATCTAAGGAGAGACAAGGCGCTGGCAGGAGATGAGGACAGGCAGATAGCCTTAATGTCAAAGCTACAATACCATAAATACCAGGAAACCATTTCTCCTGCCACAGATACAAGCGACTCCCACTGAAATCAAGAGGGCATGTTCTGCTCCTGGCCACCCCTTTGTAAATCCAGACAGATTCCACTGACCTTAATGGAGTCGTTCTGAATTTACACCAGTGTAAATGAAAGCAGAATCTGACCCAAAGAGACCAAGAAAAAAAACACAATCAAGTCCTCGAGGAGGAAAGGGAAGCTACTGTTGTCCCTACAGAGCTAATCAGAATGGAAAGCACAAAGCAAGTCAGGAGTGGCGCAGACACATGATACAAACAAAAGCTGCAGTGGCGCTATGAAAACCCTCCGGTGCCAACATTCAGAGTTGACACAGGCCCCAGAATCCAAGCTCTAGAGATGACCACCTTTCATTTCTCCCTAAAGGCAGCCATCTGTTCCCACCCCTCTGCTCAGGGTGGGCACTAAGGAAACTTCGGGGCAGGAACAGACAGCCGTTTGCTAGGGAAAGTTCTGTCTGAGTCTGAAAAGGGGAAGCCACGTTGGTGAGTTTAACACACCAGATTTAACAGGATGACAACTTGGGCAATCAAACTGCAGCACAGGGGCTGACCGTCCAGGGACTGAGGTGGGAGAAAGATCGCCCAGTGCTGCTGTAAATTCTCCCTTTCAATCTCCTGATGGCATAGGGAGTGAGCTGGGAAAATCCAGACTGGCATTTTGGTTCCGCCTCCTATTGTACTTGGGTTATAGATTCCCAAACTGAACAAGTTAAAACAGGAGCGCAAGTGGCCCCTTAATCCAGGAAGGATTAATTTTATTCATAAAAGATTCAATAGCTTTAATCCCTCATTATTGGGGATTAGAAACCAGAACTTCCCTGCATGCTATCACACAGAGCTGAGGCAGGGTCCCGTGCAGCTCTGGAACCAAGGCCGGCATGTGGGGCTTGAAACACAGCAGCATGTGTCGTGTGGGAACAGAACATGACAAAATAATAATAATAATAATAATAATGGAGATATCCTATTTTTTTCATGTTCTGTTCCCACAC